TTTTCAATCCTTTTTTTTAATTAAAAGGAAAAGTGATCGGATTTATGTTGCATTTTGGTAGAAAATGTTGACAAAACTTGCAACATAAAAGAACAAGATATATAATTTGATTTTTTTTTTTTAAAAAAAAAAGATTATGCAGACACGATCACCACTAAAAAAAAATTATTATATTCCAACAAAAATATTTCAATTGAAATTTATCAGATATTTTAATATCGCATTACTTCTTTCAAAAATTCTAACAGATATTTTAATGGAGATTAACAATAAAATATTTTAGTTGAAGTTAAATTTATCTTGAAATTTGACGATTCCAACAATTATTTTTAGCGACTAATTATTGTAAGAATTTCTATTATTATTTTTTTTTATAAATAATTGTCAAACTCAATATAACTTTTAATGGAAAGCTAATTCCAACATGCCCACTTTTGTTGAAATTTTTGTTGAAATCACATAAAAATATTCCAACTGAAAACATGTTTCTTGTATGGTCAATATGCATGATACAATTAATACAGTACGATCTCATAATACAAAAAATAATAAATTAAAAAAATAATAATTAAACCTACATGTATTATCAATTTAATAGTTAAATACGAAAGTGGAATGATATGTTACATAGTTATTACATACTATACTTCATTCTGTGTACTTGCACAAAATATGTAATACGGTAATTATTTATAAAAGCAAATACTTATAGTTTTATAATTATTATACATACAAAATAATATTTACAAAAAAAAAAAAAAAAATCGTGTAATATGCATTACATACATGTTATTATTTTTATTTTTTTTTATTTTTTTCCAAAACGATAGAAATATTATATAACTAAAGACCGCACAAAGTGCAAAGAGAAAGCTGTCAAAAGCTGAAAAGTACAACTAAAGGCGGAAAAGACTAGGAGGCAAATTCAAAGATCGCCTAGAGTCTGACTTAACATCGCTAGAATAACAAATTCGCAACTACACAAACACAAACGAAAAAACTACGAAAACGATCCCAACAAGATAATGTCCGAGGGTACGATCCCAACAGAATAATAAGCTCACACTTGGGCGTACAGAAGCCAACGGCCCAAACCAAAAACACCAGACGAAAACAACACAGACTCAAACGACACAAAGCAGAACAAAAAAAATTAAATAAACAACGGACAAGCCCTTCCCCAGCAGACAAACGGACTGAACAACAGAGAAACGATCAACTCCAGGAAAGATCCCAAGCACGAGGAACCACTTCCGAAATTGCGGACTGCCTATACAGAAGTCGAACCCGAACCCCAAATCGAACTCAGAGTCAACCCGCCTTGAACTGAGAGAACAAAAAAAACTGTCTCCCCGCACTTGCACGGCCCGAACTTGTCTAACACCACTAGCCAATCTCAGGCGTACCAAACACCCCACAGTCCCAACACCAGGGATAAACCGGAGGATTAGAGTGGTTCGGTCCTACAACCCCGGCTTCCCCGACGCAAGACGTCGCAGCCGCTGGAGCCCCGCCATACCCCATGCACCACCCAATCACCACCGCAGAACACCGGCGACCATCGACCAAAATCCCCACCAGAGAAGGCAAAGCCGACCGAAGGGGAACTCCAAACAAAGACAAGACGCAGAAAGAGGGGCATACCTCCGCCAATCGAAGATCCATCGGCGATCGAGAGGAAACGACCAATCGCAGACCGATCTCCGACTAAGGGGACGCCAACTCCGCAGATCCGCCGACGACGGAAGGGCGAACCACACAGAACCGCAAACAACATCAAGGGCGCAAGACATCCACGACGGGTAAAACGGTCAAGTGCGACCGCTGGCCAGGGCCCTGCCGTCACTGAGGAAGGCGATTCGACGACGAATGGAGGATTGCTAACGACGGATTATGTTAGGCGTCGCGAGAGTAAAAGGGGGGTTTTCACTTAAAATACATACATGTTAGTCATCATTTACACAAATCATATTCCACATAGTATTACTATTTTAATAAAAATAAATTATAATCATAAATAGCACCAAATACAATTAATAGTAGCTCTATCACTACCCATAATTAAAAAATAATGGTTCTCACATTAAAAATTGGTTCTCTCTAACCACGTTCTATATTATGTAACATCTAAGTCAACGATAATTTTATGATGGTAACACACAAGAAACCCAGATTAAGATTTGAAGTGATTATAATCTAATATATATTATTTTATTTATTTATTTATTTATTTATTTTTTTTTTTGTAAAACACGAGTGAGTGAGGAGTTGTATTAATCTGACTTTCTTGTCGGGTGGGATATCTTTTTTTCTGTTCCCCCTTTTGTTTGGTTGGTTTGTATTATTTCTATATTCTCTTTTTTTTTTCTCCTTTTTCACGTGAGCTTTATTTTTCATGTCTGAGGGATATTATATTATATACTACCTCCTGTTCATTATAAATGTCATTTTGACTTTTGTGATTCATCCATTTTATTATGTATCTAGACATTAAGGGGGGTGTATTTAATTGGGATTTATAAAGACTTTTAAAAACTTTTTAGGACTTTAGAAATCCTGGTGTATTTAATTTAGATTTCTCAAGACTTTTAAAAGTCTTGAGGTATTCAATTAGGATTTTAAAAAGTCTTACGAAATCCAGGTGTATTTAACTAATTTAAGGTTAGGATTTATAAGGACTTTTTAAGATTTGCTGGGATTTCTAAAGAATAAAACATGCAGGAAATCCCACTACAAATCCCACATTTAAATGGGTGTATTTAATTGAGATTTATAAAGACTTTTAAAAACTTTTTAGGACTTTAGAAATCCTGGTGTATTTTATTTAGATTTCTCAAGACTTTTAAAAGTCTTGAGGTATTCAATTAGGATTTTAAAAAGTCCTACGAAATCCAGGTGTATTTAACTAATTTAAGGTTAGGATTTATAAGGACTTTTTAAGATTTGCTGGGATTTCTAAAGAAAAAACATGTAGGAAATCCCACTACAAATCCCACCTTTAGACTTGGTATTTTATAGGATTCTTTTAAAATCTGAAAATCCTCAAAAATCTTAAATCTTAAAAAGTCTTTAAATGTCACTCGAATTCCGAAACGAATACACCCCCCTTAGACTTGGTATTTTATAGGATTCTTTTAAAATCTGAAAATCCTCAAAAATCTTAAATCTTAAAAAGTCTTTAAATGTCACTCGAATTCCGAAACAAATACACCCCCCTAATATGTCTAGATACATAACAAAATTGATAAATCAAAAAGGTCAAAACGATATTTATAATGAATAATGTAATTTTGACTTTTGTGATTTATCCATTTTATTATGTATCTAGACATTAATATGTCTAGATACATAACAAAATTGATGAATCAAAAAGGTTAAAACGACATTTATAATGAATAGGAGGGAGTAATATATAATACTCGTGGATTTAATATTGGCCTCCAATTCCATAGTCTTTTTTTTTTTTTCACTTTTGTCATGGCCAATTAGGTCGGACTATTTAGATTCCACCGTCAAATATCTTTACTAATTAATTAATTAAACCACATGCAACTATCAATGGTACATATAACATATGGATTAGAATTTTATAATAACCATTACAAATCACATCATTTGTACTAACATGAAAAAATTGTCGGCCTACTTCTTTTCTTTTTAAACGATAAAGTTTATAAATAAAACACAAATTTACAAATTAAAATATAGTAGGCAACAACAGCTACGTAGTTGAATTTAGATAGAGGACATCACAGAGGGAAGCCTAGACTATTACGAAAACACCCATCAAGACAAGAACAAGGAAGAGGAGGACACAAACCACAACCCGACCACCATCAAGACGGTGATCGATATCGGCCACAACAAGAGGGCCAGCAAGACAACGATAGCACCAACAGTTCCCGACCGCCCAAGAACCAGGGGAAGCTCCGAAGGCCCGGGAACCTCATGTCGCCAGCCCTGGTGTCGTACGGTACCGCGAAGCGGCAGAACTCAACCGGTGGGAGGGCGAAGGAAGAAGGGACGAAGAGTGTGGGGTTTTGATTAAGGGGATGTGGGGGGAAAAAATATCGGTCTACAAGTTGCAAGTTTTGATAATTAGTTAGAGTACTGAGATAACTTGAATGTAAATTGACATTAAAATCAGACCTTAATAATTCACAATTTATCTTATTATAAACAAATTGGTAAGTCTTGTTGTAAGTCAAACGATAGTATAAAATTCACAATTTATCCTATTACAATAAATTGGTAGGTCTTGTGTTAGGTCAAACTAATCATTAGGCTGACATATACTTTTTACTAAAATGCATACTTTCATTAGAAAATATCACACTCAAAACAAAAGTATGACAACTTGTTAGTATGAATTTTTTTATCATAGAGTATGACAAGTCGATTCACCTAACGATTACAGGTTAGAAGTTCAAATAATTTGAAAGTATAAGGAACATCGAGTCTATGTAGCTCGAAGTTGAAATAATTCGGGTCGACACGCAATAGCTCATAGATGATTTTATATGAAGAGCCTCCATTGGCACTTGCCACCAAGAGGTATTGGATTAGTTTGATTTATTTTTTTTTATTTTTTTTATTTTTTTTACATCAGCACTTCTAAAAATGTGCCTTTTTGTCGGTAAACTTATTGGATATGAGTTCCTACTTATATAAACTCATATGCATTTAATTCATTAAAACAATTGAAAATAAAAGAGCTCTTAGACTACATTTTAAAATTCATATTGAAAGCTGCATATTTTCTAAATATATCAACACAAAAATGAGTGTATTAATTATTATATTGATGCCGATGAGAGTACGTTGGCGTTCCTCGACAGACATGATCGTATCCAGCCATTAGTTTGGTTGTTATTCCATTTCTTATTATTAGTATTTATATTTGTTTTTCATGTTTGGGCTTGTTAGGAGTGGGCTTTTAAAACTTGGGTTTTAGGGCTTTTGAGTCTTATTTAAAGACACATCTTTGATGTAGTTCAACAGTTATTCGGAATATTGAAATAAAATCGGATCGACTTTGAGAGTTCTCTCTCGTATCATACACCCATCGTACGCTTCCTACATCATATATACTATAAGAAAAAATGAATATATTATGTTGTATATACAATGGCCACCCAATTTATATACTAATATTTTGCTCTAAAATACATCGAACCAGAGTAGTAATCTGGACTAAATGGCCACCCAATTTATATACTAATATTTATTTATTTATTTATTTTTTTCTAAATTACAAGATTCTCCATTAATGATCAACTGATGCATAAATAAAGTATATAAAGGAACATTGAGCATTTGCCCATCTCAGGTAACAAATGCAACTAAGAGAGGTTGAAAAAAAAGCATAATCTGCACATCTCAGAATATAGTGATGTTATTAGAGATGACAATCAAATGGTCTCTATCTACTCATCCCAAGGGCCCAAGACTATTATGCATAGTCAATAATCCTTTTGGATCTCAACAAGAACATAAATTAAGCACCCCAAAAACAGTTTTCCACCTAATAAATACACACTAGGATGACAAAAGAAAAAAAAAAATATGAGAAAAAAGGGAGGAATCGGCAGGAGCTGCTTTTCAGTCTGTCAAAACCTTCACACGAAATTGAGAATTCGCATCAAGTACAATTTTAAGAGCTCAATTTGCAACGTCATCGTATAATACAGAACACACCATACCGTATGTCGAATCAACTTGTGTCCACAGATAGGGGCAACGGAAGATTGCTCAGTGTTAGGGTGGTTGCTGGACAGATATTAGAGAATGAACTTATTACCGAGCAAAAATAAATGTTAGACAAAATTTATCTAAAACATTATACGATAATTACAAAAAGGAGCCCTGAAGTTCAGCCTAATTACCTGAACTCTAATAGTTCTAAGAATAACAGATCCCCTTTAAGTGTGACACGCTCTCCCTACAGGTATGCGCTTCGCATACACAACAAAAAACCCCTTCCCCCTCTTCGTTGTGCAACATTTACTTCTTTTTTAAAGGTTCATTCTCAAACTTTATACGATAATTAGGTTTTCAAGTATTTGGGCTACACCTTAAGAGCAGTTCTTGCAATTGTGCATAAAGATAAAATTGCATGTTACCTTTTGGTTCAATTTGCAGCCAATCTTGCCCACATATCAAAGCTTCTCTAGTCTCTGGACTTAATGACGCGCGATACTTATCGAGCAATCTACCACTGTTGCTGAATGCTAGATCTGGTCCAAGAGTAGACACGGGAATCGCAAGAAGATCACGTGCCATCATGGACAATATTGGATACCTTGGCATGTGGACTTTCCACCAATTTAATATGCTGAAATCGTAATTACGGGGAAAGACGGGCTCCTCCAAATACTTGTCCAGATCTGATGACATGCTCTGATTTTGGGAAGTCTCATATAGGAATTTGTCGAAGCCCTTGAGTTTATCTCTTATTACATTGCTGCTACTAGGTAAACTGCTATGGGGGTCTTGGTCTAACAAGGATGAACCCATGGAATACTCATTAAATAGTTCCCTGAGACCATCAGACACTTCTTGGATACGATTGGGGGCAGCAGCACCATAAATTTGCCTAAAATAGTACTCTACTAACTTCAACTTAAAACGAGGGTCTAAAATTGCCGCTATAGCTAGTACCAAACTGCACTTGTTCCAATATACATCGAACTTGATTTTCATTCTCAAGGCCACCGAACTAAGAAACTCGTCAGGGCTCTTGCACCACTCATTCAACTGGATGTGCATGTCGCAGATCTCTGAAAAGAATATGTTGGCAGTCGGATTATTGTTTCCTATTACGATATTAGTGAACTCGAGAAGAAATTTCACATAGGCAGCAATAGCACTCGCCTGTTCCCACTCGCTCTCGGATAAAGCCTTCGAGTAGGACGGGTCGTGCTCCTGCATAAGGAGAAAGGCGGCCTTGTACTCAATTGCTGATTCAAGCATCAAGTAGGTCGAGTTCCAGTGCATTGGATGGTCGAGAACCAGACGTCTACCACTCCCAATTCCTGCTTGCTCGGCAAATTCGTTGAATTTCGAGAGTAGTTTTTGTGTGCTCTTAACATGCCTTATGCTCTCGCGAATTTTAAGAGTCACTTCCCGACACAATTCCATGACTTCTTGAACAATGGATTTCAAGAGATGCAAAATGCACCGCATGTCAAATAACTCGCCGCTCTTTAAAAGAGGTCTATTCTGGGACAGCCAATCTTTAATCTTGAACACCATGACTTCATAGGCAGAAGAGTCATCGAATGTCATGGAAAACAACTTGCCATCAATGGCCCAGTCTGTTGTGCTCTTGATAATAGCTTCTGAGATTATGTCATCAGTGCTAGATGGATCCAATGAAATGAAATTTAACACTTTCTTCTGTAGCTTCCAGTCCTCATCGATGTAGTAAGCAGTTAGGCCAATATACTCAGAGCCCTCAGGTGAGCCCCACATGTCAACAGCAAGACTGATTCTACCATGGAAATGGTAAATGGCCTCGTATACCTTTTGTCTCTCCTTCCCATAGATAGTCAAGCAGTCAAGTTCAATTGAGCCATTATTGTTAACCTCAAACATGGGCTGCAAATTATTGACGAATATTTTGAACCCAACATGGTCGACCATGGCCAACGGATAACCATGTCGCATAATCATGCGAGCAAGATCCAACCTACAGCGATCTTGATCGAACTTGATACTTCCAAGATTGATAGATTGGGCAATTTCATCTTTCTTTTGCTCTGGTTCAAACCTAATAGGTATGGGACTGAGGATTTCATCTTTTATTTTCCCTTCCTCATAGGTGATGCTTGTAAGGCCAAGATTACTTTGATGAAGAGGACTCTGACTGGTTTCTTTTCTCTTTCTCTTGGCAGAAAGTATTTGAGAAACATCATAGTTCGATCTCTTCAGACATCTCAACAAATGATTCCTTAAATGCGTTGTACCACTATTACTGGACCCACTTAGTTTCTTTTTGCAATGGACACAAACAGCATACTGTGCATCTGCCTTTCTGACTCTTTCGAAGTGATTCCAGACAACAGAAGTCAGTCTCTTTGTTTTCTTTGCGGGGATCTCATTTATTATTTCCATGACATGGACAATCTACCAAGAATCAATTGTGAAGAACTGCAGTCATACATAGAGCTCCATTGTAAAATACAGCAGATAGTTATTAACTTCCTTTCACATGAAAACTTTAGCGACAGTGACTCAGACAACCATGATTCGGCAAAATTGAATACAACATTTAAAAAGAAATGTTTACAAACTATGTTTTAAGAAGGGGGCAAAAAGGACATCTGATGACCATCACTGATCACACGAGCCACTTCGGGTTCTGAGATATAGCAAACAAGTTGTGCAGTTAAATTCAATCAACCACGGCATAATCAAGCAGTCGGAAGTTGATGAGAGACAATAAAAGATAAACAGAAATAAACCAGAAAAAAAAAAAAAAAATTGATTAATGTCATATTGTGCCACAAAATACTTGAGGTCCCATATACATTTTGCAGTAAGGACTTAAACCCTATCTTTAATCGAAATCTTTACTGACATTTGGGTAGCCTGGCTTGATGTGTATGTCTACTACTTCGCTCATCACGCTTCAAATTCTCAAACATGATGTTGTGGATCACACAAGAGCTCATCCTTGAAATTCAAAGATCAAGTCTTCCAAATTTTTTATACTTTTTCCTCAAATAGTTGAACATTCTATCTCCTAAGGGACGAATAACAACATGGAACCATTGCTTTCATGAGTTAAAATGATAACCGTTCTCAATTTGAAATATTCACTCTATGAGATCAGAGAATTTAGTTTATCCACCGACACTTAAGTATACATATTTAAACATAAAGGACTACAAATGATAAATAGGGTGTCCCTGGTCAGGGTTAACAAACCAAAAATCAAGCTTCCATCGCTTACCACATTTATCAGTGAGGTTAATTGCCTTCACACGTGTAACAAAGAAAGCGCATGCAACATATCTACACAGCACCATCTGAGTCTACTTCATACAACTCCCCAAGCATTCCAAAATAACTAATTTACGAGAAACCCATTTGTTTTTTAAAAGATGTAAAGTAAAGAAAACAAATACAAATACAAATTAAAAATAGACTCTTTACAAAAGTTCGATCAAGCAGGCTCAAGTGATTAGTTCTAAAAATCTCACATTTATACAACCAAATCAAAGAACCAACCTATATAATATATATCAAGAAATGCGAGTCCCGTTACGGAATCATTCCGTCGGGATTTATAACCGTTACATCATCATGTAACCGTCATAGGTAGTTGATCTAACGGAATGGTTCCGTAACGGGACCATATCATCTTCCTATAATATCACTCTTGATGCGTGCATAATGAACTCACACAAGACAACTCTCTTGGCACAGTGGAGCCAAACAGACCAAATCCCAATCATCCTTGGATTCAACAAACAGAGAATCACTATCATGATAACTAACGCAGTAATAAAAACTAAAACAAAGCAGTTCACAAACACTTGATTCTGGGGTTTTTCAATGAACCAAGTCTGACATAACGAGCATCCAAAAAACCCATTAAACAAAAAAATAAAAAAAAAAAAAAAAATCAAACAATATCGCAGATATCAGCGCTTAAAACACAGAAAATCATCTTCACAGACAAATGGTAAAAGCAGAAGAAGAATGGAGGTGTTAATTGAATAACAAAACGACAAGTACAAGAATTTTGAGCTCAGAAACCACAGTATATAACCATAATCGGGTCGGATCTGCTGCAAAATGAAAGAAAAATCGAACCTGCGGGTTAGAGAATTCAAGACGGCGATGGAGTTCAGGGAAGAGTCCGAACGGAGGACCCGAAATAGGGTAAAAGGGTTTGGATTTCAGATAATTGGCAGATTTGGATATTGATAACGAACCGGGCCTTTGGTTTTGGGTAAACACAAACCGGAAAATTGGATCTGTCTGATATTGACAATGGTAAATGGGTCGGATTTTGGTGGGTCTTTATAAATGTGGGCGTATGATGAACTTCATTTTTAGGGAAGAAAATGGGCAATGGGTAAAGGGGCCCGGGTCAGGCCGGGCTACTAACCTAGTTGGTTACGGCCCATCAATGCAGCTTGGAACCATAACCACGATTCCGGGGCAGATATTGGGCCCAACACTCGTTCACTACTTGTTCTCATTTTTTTTAATTGGTGGTTTTGGTTATGCACTAAAACCGTTGAACCGGCTATTTAAGACTATGTTTGGGCTATGTTGTAAAACTAGCTGATAAGTTAACTGATAGCTGATAAGCTAGCTTATAGTTTATATGTAATTTTTGAGCTTATAGCTTATAACTTATGACTTATAACTGAAAAGCTAGCTTATATGATAAAAGGTGTTTGGTAAATTAGCTGATAAGCTAGCTGAAATAAAAAATTCAACTAGCTTATTTGAAAAGCTACCTAGAGTAGCTTATGAAATAAGCTCGAGCTTTTTAAAAAAGCTCGTCCTACCAAACGAGGCTTATTTTAATACATGGAACTTATAAACTAACCAAATAAGCTATAAGCTAGCTTATTTGGCTTACCAAACATACCCTTGGTAGCCAAATAAGTTAGCTTATAGCTTATTTGGTTAACTTATAAGCTTCCTTTATTCAATAAGCCTCGTTTGGTATGACTAGCTCGAGTTTATCTCATAAGCTTCTTTAGGTAGATTTTCAAATAAGTTACTTGAATTTTTTATTCCTGCTAGCTTATCAGCTAATTTAACCACACTTTTATCATATAAGCTACCTTTTCAGCTATAAGACATAAGATATAAACTATAAGCTCCATCATTACATATAAGTTATAATATCAACTATCAGCTAGCTTATCGTCTTGTTTTATGAAACATAACTTAAAAACGTCAGAAAAGCTACCAATACACAATTCAACCGGTTCAATCGTTTTTACCGCATATTTTACCAATCTTTAGTAAATATTTATTAAAAATATTATTGTAATGTAAATGATGTTTACAGCCATCTTTCAATATGTAACAATAAATTTTTTTTCTTTAAGAACACATTTGAATCTTCAAGAGGATTATTGAGAGCTATCTTGAACTTGACAGTTTGATTCATGTGGTGTTATTTGTGGTTTGGAGGAGATGTCAATTTATAGGTGTGGGAGAGAGACTTTTGGAGGAGAAAACATCGATTTGATTGGTCTTTCATGATTTGATTTGTTATAATCTCTTTCCTTATCCTAAGATTTGAGTTGGTGGACAATAAATAATTACTTTGTTAATTATGTTATCTTGTTTATCTTATATTTATGTCTAAAAATAAATAAAGAAATCAATTAATAAAATATTAAAAAATTTTGATGTCTACACATTAATATTAAAATTGATTAAAAATGTAATAGCAATTTAAAAATATTAAAATTAAGTGTATAACTTTCAATTTATGTACAAGAACGTTTGAAAATATAAAATTAAAAATAACTTAAAAAATCCGGTATATCTTATACTTTAGCCGGTACATTTGGATAAAAGTTGAACATATCAGAATGAAACCGATATTTTATAAAAAAAAAACGGTATTTCCAAGATCATCATACCGGCGAAATCATCGGTATACGATATTGCCAGCATTACTGGACTGTACGGTACATTGTTTAAAACACCTTATGGGTCGCTACCTGGATCTAGGTAGAACCGGTTGAGACCGACTTAGATACGTTTGAACCGTCGCGCATAGATCTGTAAAACCTCAACATCGAAAGGGATTCTGGCGTAGAGCCTCTGATGCTTAAGTCAGCACATGGAATAAAGTAAAACCATATATCTATAGAATTAAGTGCATATAATGTATAAATGTGGAAGAAACCTTATGGTTGTACCTTACTACCCTTTTATAGGTAAAAACCTGCCCGATTTCGTCTGCTCGAGTTGCCCGCGGTCAGCCTGCCCGACTGCGTGGGGTTTAACCTTATCCTTATCCTAATTATACATGAGTCAACATCAGGTTCTTTCTTATCCTCTCAAGATTCCTTTTTATCTGCCTATTTAGGTGATTTGGTTAGGTCTTTGTCTTATTGGTTATCATGTTACTCTTCTGGCATTTGTCAACCTAATAACTCATCAATCCATATTTACTTTGATAAGTTGTCCTACCTGATAACTCATAGGTCGCGGTGACTTTTAACCAGATAGCTCAGATTAGTCCCATCCACATGTCATCCTTGGGTCTCTCCTCGACTACTTGGTTTTAAGTCTCTCCTCGGCATACTCAGTCTTTAGGTCTTTCCTCGACCTATTTGTACTTTGTGGTGTTTTTTTAGTTCTTCATATATGGCTATATCACACGCATCGAACCAACAAATCCATATCAAAATTGTACAAAAAACATAACATTTCAATTGAAATTTCGATATCGATAACCTAGATCGATTGAAGCTGAAATTGTACAAATAACTTAACATTTCAATTGAAATTTCGATATCGATAACGTAGATCGATTGGAGCTGAAATTATACAAAAAACTTAACATTTCAATTGAAATTTCGATATCGATAACGTAGATCGATTGAAGTTGAAGTTGTACAAAAAACTTAATATTTCAATTGAAATGTCGATATCGATAACATAGATCGATTGGAGCTGATCGATATGGTTGTTAATATTAATTGGCCCATCTAATAGTTAGCTTGTCGAGATATATGGTTAAAAAAATATGGATTCACTATAAAAGTTATCATATTTCAAAAGAAAATCTTACGGTAACATTTTGGCCTTTTCAAATCCCAAGCAAATTGGTCAAAAGTCGCGGATCAACATTGACCACAAAAAGACAAGATGCATATCATTTAATGTACAATGCCACAGTCAAAATTAGCCCATTAACTTTGTACACGTACTCACATTTAACATGATTTCCTAGACTAAAGAAAAGGTCCAACTAATCATTATTTACAAGCAACTTTGATACGGACAATTGTTCTTACAAGGTCAATCATGGAATTTTTTCAACCACAACTAACACCTCGTTACGATCTTTGGGTAGGTTGTATTCGTTCTCCCCTAGACGAGCAATGGTCATCTGACAGAAAGTCTTCATGACGTCTTAGAGCGGCTCAAAAGAGTGTCCATTCTTCCTCTTACGAGTCTTTTTCTTTTGATAATCAGTTGAAAACGTGTAAACATTGTTTCCGTTTGTAATCTCTATATCAAAATTAACACCATCATTATACGGACTTTGACCGCGCGACGCGGCAAATTTAAATTTATAAAGTTTCCTTAACAAACCTCTACTAACTAGTACTAGCGGCGAGTAAAGGTCGATCCCACGAGGAGCAGGAACTAAATTGTGATAATTTCGTATTAATTGAACTAAATTAAGAAAGCAAATAAAGATGGGGGATTGATTTTGATAAAACTAAAAATAATAAAATAAAATAAAAATCAAATAAAAGAAGAAAAGTCTAGTTTTCGGTTCAGTTATCACCCAATCTAAATCTGCCGCTAATTAATTTCGACGCTTTCTTTAAATTGCTAATGAATTACCGACCCTAGCTGACAACAGGCTCTGTTAACCAAATTTTCCCTTACCGAATATTTAATCGAAATAGGCTCTTCGACTAAACCTAACTAGTGTACAACCTAGAATAAGCTCTCTAGATTTAATACACTAGCAGCATTAATTCCTAGGAAAATAGATGAGTCTAAGCAATGGACACACAAGCTCGGACCATTTAACTTATGTTCATGCTACCCTAGAGATGCACGACCCCTAGTTTACTACTAATGAAACAAGACAATAACAATTACGGATTAAAGTCTCATATCTAGCACTTAAATTATGAATATTTAACGTAGTTGGTCAGACTAAATCAAACACCATCGTTCATAAACATTTAACATACATAGCATGAATCAACTCATCAACATAATAAATACGACATCTCGATTAATCAACAATATATTCAAATCCTTAAATTCATAGACAAATTCAAGTTAGGGTTCAACATCCCCTCAAACTGGATAAAATTAGGGCATTACTATTCACCGCCCCCTTATTACTAGTCACCGCCCCCCTTGGACGATTTTGCCCTTCTCATTTGCACGATGTCAAGCAGTTCTGAGGTATGTTTTTTTTGTCCCGCCCGAAAAAACGTCCGGACCCGGCTGTTTCCGGCCGAAAAAATC